AATAATTGACAGCATAGTTTTTATTTTATATATATATATATATATATATATATATATATATATATATATATAATGACATTGCCTCGCATAAAAGTTAAGCTCTAAACAAAATATTCATTTATTATATATAAATTATAATATATACACAATTTAAGGAATGAGATTTATTTTATCAATTATCCTAATTGGACATTTTTAATATTTTCTCTCTCTTAAATGTATATTTCACGCACTATCTTTATAATTAATTATAATTATTTCAAGTAATTATTATTTTTATTTATATTAGTATGTTGAGGTATTTCGTGTCTTAATTAAAAATAAAAATTAAGTAATAAAAATATAATAATTTAATTGATGTTATGATTTATTTATTAATTTTAAGATTTTAGATTTGATAAAAAAATATTTTTTATTTTTATTTTTTATAAATAAAAATATAATAATTAATAAAATATAAAACATCTAAAAATAAATTTAGATCATAAATTAAATTATTTATTATAAATGTAAATAAAATTCATATACTTAAAGATACTTTTATTATAAACTTTAATTATAATATAATTTATATTTAAGAAATCATCTATAATGAAATTTAATGAGAAGAATAACTCATGTTTTATATCAAAATTTATTGATCATATTGAATTAATTTTTTTAATGTATAAATCAATTCAACAAATTTTTAAGAAACTAAAAAATTATTTGATATTTTATTAAAAAAATTTAAATCAATAAATAAAATATTTTTATGATTATTTATCAATTTAAATTAATAAAATATAAAAATATTTTATCTATTAATTTAAAATATTTAATAAAATATCAAATAACTTTTATTTTTTTTTTTAAATTTACAAACTTGATCTATATATTAAGAACTTTTAATTTAACAATTGTATGGTTAAAATTTGATATAGAATGTGAGTTATTGAATGATATAAATAAATTTCTTTTTTTTAGGAGAAATATAAATAAACTTATTTCCCTAAAATTTAATTTTATAAAATAAATATTTATAGTGTATAAACCAAAGTAGTAATTATTATATAATTGAAAGAAAAAAAATCTGTTTAATTATATGAGAGCTATTTATTTGCATAATTAGCCAACAACCACATTAGGTAGAACCGTCGTCACCGTCATAATCGTAATACGTACGCACAGGATGTCAACCCTGTAGCAGCTTCTCACGTGTGACGAAGCTCGCGCGTGCCAAACTGTCGGTGGATCGTAAATCGAAACATCCTTTGAATTTCAGCACGGTAACAATAGCTCGAAAAACATGTTGTTTGCTTATCTTTTAGTATCCTAGTCACGCCTCCGATGCGCGCCACGTGTACCCCACAGAATCTTCCTTTTAACGAGATAAATAATTAATCACGACGACTTAGAATCATTTTTTTTCCTTCAATATTTTAAATATATTTTATTTTTCTGGTTATTAATTATACTCGATAGATTTCAATTTCGCACCCTTTTGTTTTGTTTCCCATTTGGTGATTACAGTTAATCGTATTTTTTTTAATAAAGTTTATAATAATTAACTGCATAAAAAATATTAAAGACTTGTTAGTTTTCTAACGAATTCATACCTATTTTGTTGTGCACATGCCCTCACACTTGAGAATGGAGATATTCTTTTACACACTTGAGGACATTTCCTTGTAACTAACAATCTTACTATATATGAAACCTTTCGGTACAAGGTAAATATCACAAGACTTTGCTTAAAATCTTTATAATAAATGTCACAAAAATGAGGAATAACAATTTTAAATTCGAATTTCTTATATTTTTATGTTAAGAGTCTATTATACCAGGCTACTGTACGCTACACTAATATTTCTACTTTAATTACAAAAAGGAAATATTTTTATTTATATGTGTATATCAAAAATATAAAAAATATATATGAAGAAACAAAAGGAAATATAGTGCTTGTCTATTTTATCAATAAGATCTGTCATTTCAATTATGCTTTAAGACACCAATTTTTTTTTGAGTCATGTAAATAATAATTGACAATATATACTTGTAATTTTCATCAGAAAATGAGGTTGAGAATAGCAATTCAAAATGATATTATATTTCCTTTTTTTTTTTTTTAAATATTTTCTAATCATATTACTCATCTTATTTTATATTTTTTTTCTTTTGATCTCTTTCTTAATTATGAAACTTTTGAATAAAAATAACATTTCTGGAAACAATTATATCTACATCTATTCTTTTCTTGTTTCTCTACCCTATATGGACAAATTTGCATTGCTCAGAATTAGATTGAGCATTGAAGAGGATCAAGTATTGGAGTTAACGACAAAGCTAGTTAGTCCAAAGATCAATTATGCCATTAAACCGACGATGGATAAATACACTAAAAATATATATTAATTAACTAGTATATTTAGTTTACAGAAAATATGAAAAAACTAGAATGGTAAAAAGGACAGATATCGTAATTGTCTGTGTAATAGAGGAAAAGACAAGCTAACCAAATGCTTCCATTAAATGAACCTATTGGCATGCAATGCCATCAAAAACGAAATTTTACCCGAATCGAAAGGGACCAAAGTGCTTCGCCTCCAATTTTGAATTCTTCCCTTCATTCTAGTTTCAATTATTATTATATGATATAAGAAAATAATGTGTGGGTGATCACATGTAGGTAATATTTATATATATATATATATATATA